ACCCAGTATTCCATACGATTTTTACGTAAACCAGAGTATAAATAAGTCGGAGATTAGAGACCTCTCTCTCTTCTCTTCCAACGAGGGTCGGGAACTGTAGGTCGTTGCGTTGGTCTCGCTTATCTAAAGCTGAGGCCTGCAGCGACCGCTGGCCTGACACGTGGGGGGTTCGGAGAGTGCTGGCTGTGTCTGCTAATCCTGCTTTTCTAAGGGAAGTGGTGAGATCTGTTTTGTTAATTACTAGTATAGTTCTTGAATTTGATTAAGTATACCTGTTTGGTGTCCCTTTTTTCCCCTTTCCCTATCCCTTCGGGGAGTGGATCCCCTTTTACTGTGTATATAGCATCTTAACTGTATATAACTTTAATTTACGTAAATATATATATATATTTTATATAAACAGCTTGACTTTGGGTTCTTTAATTTTTTTATAGTTTTTTTTTCTTTGCCCTAAGAGGAGAAAGGAGGGAGGAAGGGGGCTGCTGTCGTGACTTTCGGGCATTTGGCAGGGAGCCAAGTCCAAACCATCATAGATTTTTCTGGTGGCCCGTACGGGGAGATTGTTTTGGTTATCCTGGTTTGTTTTGGAACAGTTACCGGAAAAACTGCCAAGAGAGGCTTGTTTATATAAACAAACCTATTGTTTAAGAACAGAGAGAAAGAATAATATAACGATGGCTATTCTAACTACTTGTTTCATTGTACTAGCTATATTTGTGCCTGTTTTGGGCTATCCTGTAGGGAAACGCCCAACTGGAGATGAATGGGAGGAGTATATCCCTTCCTTTGATTGGGATAAATGGAAAGAGTATCTCACTTTCCTTGATTGGAATGAATGGAAGGAGTATTTCACTTCCCTCAATTTTGACATCAAAGGCCTGCTAAAGGAGATCCCTATCATTACAATTGGCTCCAATTTTTACTTAAATTGTTTAGTGACAATCCTGGTACTCGTGAAGGCGATGAAAGAATTATTTAAAACTGGAAGAATGGTGTTGTATTGCTTTTCATCTTGTAGAAAAGGTCAGACCTCTAGAGGATTTGCTGGAACTTTGGGAAGAGTCTTGGAAAGGCCAGTTTCTGGATGGCAAGGAGCATGAGTAAATTTTGGCAAACTGGTAGGGCGTGTGGCACCTCCCATTGTTTGGGACTTCACGCCAGAACATGTGTCTAATCCTGACGAGATGACACGTTGTTTAGTTGAAGGATGTCTTTCATATGATGACCCAAACACGCAGCTCCTTGCTTTATGCTGGGGTCTAGTGACAGCTTATGGAGTTGCCTTAGATCACTATCAAAAACCTAAGACAGAGGCAGAAAGTCAAAATATGTCACCTGAAACAAATGATGCCCCTATTGAGTCCACAGACATCGAGATCCAGACTCAACCTGAAGTCAGCACCATTTCTATTGAGTCAACTGAGTGTGGAACACAGACTCAGACCGAAGGCAGTGCCATCTCTGTTACACTGACTGAATGTGGAACACAGACTCAGACCGAAGGCAGTGCCATCTCTGTTACACTGACTGAATGTGGAACACAGACTCAGACCGAAGTCAGTACCGTCTCTGTTAAACTGACTGAATGTGGAACACAGACTCAAACCGAAGGCAGTGCCGTCTCTGTTAAGCTGACTGAGTGTGAAACACAAACTCAACCTGAAGTCAGCGCCGTCTCCGTTAATTCAACTGAACATGGAACACAGACCCAACCTGAAGTTAGCGCCATCTCTATTAAGTCAATTGAGTGTGGGACTCAGACTCAACTTGAAGTCACCATAGCTTCTACTAAATCTGTTGAAACTGGAGTCCAAACCGTAGATCTCATGGACACTGGAACTCAAACAATGACATCTAATGTTAAGGTTACGACAGAGATGAAGACCCGGACTATCAACCTGAGAATTACTATCGCCCCCCTAACTAAGAAGAAGATATGGATAAGGGATACTGCAGAAGCTACAGGCCTAGTTCCACGATTAAGGCGTATGGAAGGAGAAGAAGGAGAAGAAAAAGAAGAAGAAGAAGAGGGAGCAAAGGGACTTGCCAGCCCCATGGAACCTATCCCATCCAATTATGTAGTAGTGGACGAATGGACGGCTGCAAAAGAGGAAGAAGTAACAGCGAGAGAAGGAGCGCGCCCAAAAGAATTAGGAGCGCGTCCAAAGGAAAAGGGAGTGCACCTGAAGGAAGAAGGAGCGACAACACAAATAGCCAATAAACCACCAAAGACAAGGCTGACGCCCAAATATTCTCTTCCTGACTTTCCAGCGGAAGATACAGAAGAACGGTTGAGACCTTCATCCCAAAGTCTGAAGGACTACTCGCTACCTCCACCTCGTGGGCTTAGACAACGGAGTAGAAGTCTATCCCCGCTACATGCTCAGTCTCTCCCTCCACGTGAGAGAGGTAGAGAGAGAGAGAGAGCAGTTCCACGTAGAAGCGTCAGAAGAGAAGTGGAAATGGTTCCACCTAGGGGAGACCCTTATTCTGGAGCAGCAGTTGTGCGAACGAGTGAGGTACTGCGAACAATGACCCCAGCAGAGCTCCGGGATCTACGACGGGATTACAGCCGCCGGCCTGGTGAACAAATTCTCACCTGGCTGGTACGATGTTGGGATAATGGAGCCAGAAGCTACTTGTTAGAGGGTCATGAAGCACAGCAGCTAGGATCCCTCGCTCAAGACCGTGAAATAGAACAAGAAATCGCAAGAGAGACATACAATCTCAGTCTCTGGCTCCGAATCCTCCATGCTGTGAGGGAAAAATATCCATTTAAAGAATACTTAATGAGTTCTCCGAAAAAGTGGACGAGTGCAGAAGAAGGCGTCCAATACTTACGAGAATTAGCTATGCTGGAACTCATTTATTGCAATTCAGATTATTATGACTGTTTAGAACCAGAGAAGATTTCATGTACAGAGCCAATGTGGAGGCAAGTGATTAGAGGTGCCCCTGCATCATACCTTAATTGCTTAATATCAGTATATAATCCAAAAACGGATGAACCGACTGTGGACACCATGTGTTCATGGATACGGACCATAGCAGAAAATTTGGAAAGGTCCTCCGATGCCCGACACCGACCTATCCATGCTAGGGAAGCAATGGAGAGGCCCTATGAATATTTCAGATATGAAGACGACTATAGGGATAGAGATGATAGAGTCTATATAGACTACAGAGACTTTAGAGACAGACCAATAAAATGGTCTCGACCACGATTTCGACCTCGATCTTGGTCCCGGCCTCGTTCACGGTCTCCTTTCTTAGTACGCAGAAGGAGAGGAAACCCCAGACGGAGGTCACGTAATCAACTGTGGTCCTATCTGCGAAGCAAAGGAGAAAACATGAAGAAGTGGGATGGTGAACCCACTTCCAAACTTGAGGCCAGAGTGAGAGAGTTACAACAAAAGGAAAACAACAAAAAGGTTGTCTACGTGATTGATGCAGATGCTCTACAACCTCTGAAACACAAAAAGATGGAGGTCCGCTTTGACAATAACAAGAAGGCTTCCAAGAAGGCAAAGTCAAAGTCGGACGATGAATACTCCGATCAAGACCAATAGAGGGGCCCTGCCTTCTGCCAGGAGAAGGATAGGGACCAGGAAGATAACAGAGTTTACTGGGCTGTGTGGGTTCGATGGCCTGACACATCGGATCCTCAGAGATACCGGGCTTTAGTGGATACTGGTGCCCAGTGTACTTTAATGCCATCAGAGCATAAGAGTATAGAGGCTGTTTCTATTTCTGGAGTGACCGGAGGGTCTCAAGAGTTGTCAGTGGTAGAGGCCGATATGAGCTTGACAGGAGACCAATGGCAAAAGCATTCCATTGTGACGGGGCCAGAAGCCCCTTGCATTCTTGGTATGGACTACCTAAAAAGAGGATACTTCAAAGACCCGAAGAGGTACCGATTGGCTTTCGGTGTAGCCACGGTGATTGAAGAGAAGTCCAAGCAATTGTCTGCCCTATCTGGCCTCTCAGAAGATCCTTCCATTGTGGGACTACTCCAAGTTAAAGATCAGCAAGTGCCTATAGCCACTGCAACTGTACACAGGCGACAGTACAGGACAAATCGAGATGCTGTGATCCCCATTCACAAGATGATCAGGAAGTTAGAGAGTCAAGGGGTGGTCAGCAGAACACACTCACCCTTCAATAGCCCTATCTGGCCTGTACGTAAATCCGATGGAGAATGGAGACTGACAGTGGACTATCGTGGCTTGAATGAAGTCACGCCACCATTGAGTGCTGCTGTACCAGACATGTTGGAGCTCCAGTATGAGCTGGAGTCCAAGACAGCGAAGTGGTACGCCACTATTGATATTGCTAATGCATTTTTCTCCATTCCCTTGGCAGCAGAGTGCAGGCCACAGTTTGCTTTCACCTGGAGGGGTGTGCAGTACACCTGGAATCGACTGCCCCAGGGGTGGAAGCACAGTCCAACCATTTGTCATGGGCTGATTCAGGCCACCCTAGAGAAGGGTAAGGCCCCAGAGCACCTGCAGTACATCGATGACATCATTGTATGGGGGGACACAGCAGAAGAAGTTTTTGAAAAAGGGCAAAAGATCATCCAGATTCTCCTCGAGGCCGGTTTCGCCATCAAGAGAAATAAAGTCAAGGGACCTGCCAGAGAAATCCAATTCCTAGGGGTGAAATGGCAAGATGGACGTCGTCAGATTCCAACAGACATCATCAATAAGATCGTAGCAATGGCTCCACCGACAAACAAAAAAGAAACCCAAGCTTTTCTGGGAGCCATAGGCTTCTGGAGGATGCACATCCCAGAGTACAGCCAAATTGTAAGCCCTCTTTACTTTGTGACCCGTAAAAAGAACAACTTCCAGTGGGGTCCTGAACAACAACAGGCTTTTAGGCAAATCAAGCAAGAGATTGCACATGCCGTGGCTCTTGGTCCAGTCAGGACGGGACCAGATGTAAAGAATGTACTTTACTCTACAGCTGGAGATAAAGGTCCCTCCTGGAGACTCTGGCAAAAAGTGCCTGGCGAGACGCGAGGGCGACCACTTGGTTTCTGGAGCCGAAGCTACAGAGGTTCTGAAGCCAACTACACCCCTATGGAAAAAGAAATCTTAGCGGCATATGAAGGCATACGAGCAGCCTCAGAAGTGATTGGTACCGAAACACAACTCTTCCTGGCACCCCGATTACCAGTGCTGAGCTGGATGTTCAAGGGTAAGGTGCCCTCTACGCATCATGCCACCGATGCCACGTGGAGTAAGTGGATGGCTTTGATTACGCAACGTGTCCGAATGGGAAACTCGAATCGCCCTGGAATTTTGGAAATTATAACCAATTGGCCTGAAGGTGGGAACTTCAGTCTGGCGGATGAAGAAGAAGAAGAGCCAGTGAGTCGAGCTGAAGAAGCTCCGCCATATAATCAGTTGCCAGATGAAGAGACACGTTATGCCCTCTTCACTGACGGTTCTTGCCGCATTGTAGGAAGGAGCCGGAAGTGGAAAGCAGCTGTGTGGAGTCCCACCCGACGGGTGGCAGAAGCCACTGAAGGTAAAGGTGAATCGAGTCAGTTTGCGGAACTCAAAGCTGTCCAATTGGCCTTAGACATTGCAGAAAGAGAAGGATGGCCAAGACTCTACCTCTACACTGATTCGTGGATGATAGCCAATGCCCTATGGGGATGGCTAGACAGGTGGAAGAAAATGAATTGGAGACGTAGAGGAAAACCCATCTGGGCTGCCGACTTGTGGCAAGACATCGCTGCCAGAGTGAAAAAACTGAATGTGAGAGTCCGCCATGTAGATGCCCATGTGCCCAAGGATCGAGCTAATGAGGAACACACTCATAACAGACAAGCAGACCGTGCTGCACAAGTCGAGGTGTCACAAGTAGACCTAGACTGGCAGCAAAAGGGTGAGTTGTTCCTAGCTCGATGGGCCCATGATGCTTCAGGCCATCAGGGCCGAGATGCCACCTATAGATGGGCACGAGACCGAGGGGTGGATTTGACCATGGACTCTATTTCCCAGGTTATCCATGACTGTGAAACCTGTGCTGCCATTAAACAGGCCAAAAGGTTGAAGCCCCTATGGTATGGTGGACGCTGGGACAAGTATAGATATGGAGAAGCATGGCAGGTCGACTACATCACATTGCCACAAACCCGCCAAGGTAAACACTATGTGCTTACCATGGTGGAAGCGACTACTGGATGGTTAGAGACATATTCGGTACCACATGCAACAGCCCGGAATACCATTCTAGGTCTCGAGAAGCAAGTCCTGTGGAGACATGGTACTCCAGAACGAATTGAGTCAGACAATGGGACTCATTTTAAGAATAATCTGGTGGCCACTTGGGCACGGGAGCATGGTATTGAATGGGTATATCACATTCCATATCATGCACCCGCCGCTGGGAAAATTGAAAGGTGTAATGGACTGTTAAAAACAACTCTGAAGGCACTAGGTGAGGGAACTTTCAAGAACTGGGACAAGCACTTAGCCAAGGCCACCTGGCTAGTTAACACTAGAGGCTCTGTCAATCGAGCTGGTCCTGCCCAAGCAGAATCCCTCCACACTGTAGATGGAGACAAAGTTCCAGCGATCCATCTGAGAGGTATGTTAGGGAAGGCTGTTTGGATTACTCCTCCCTCGGGCGAAGACAAACCCATTCGTGGGATTGTTTTCGCTCAAGGACCCGGAAATACCTGGTGGGTAATGAGAAAGGATGGAGAGATCCACTGTGTGCCTCAAGGAAATTTAACCTTGGGGAATAACTAATCATGTGCTTTGAGTTGTGTTTTACAGGAAACCAGTCACCAGGTGGGAAAGACCTGAACAAACTAATGCCGGTATCCAGTGATAAACCAGCCCAAACCAGAGAACCAGCCCTAAAACCACAACTGTAATTGTCACCAAAGAGCCAAAAATCTGAACCAAGCTAATCCTGATGCTGATTCTTCTACAACAAGATGGATGCTCTAAAGAATGAACAAGGACGATATACATTTATCCATATGTGTATATATGTGAGGAATATAAGTGAAAGTGAAATATAAGTGTTATGTAAAAATAGTATGGAATAAGGGGTGGAGAATGTGATGGTTTTGATCTAGGCCTTCCTGGTAACCAGTTTGTAACCAAGGAAGTGGCCAAGTACCCAGTATTCCATACGATTTTTACGTAAACCAGAGTATAAATAAGTTGGAGATTAGAGACCTCGCTCTCTTCTCTTCCAACGAGGGTCGGGAACTGTAGGTCGTTGCGTTGGTCTCGCTTATCTAAAGCTGAGGCCTGCAGCGACCGCTGGCCTGACACGTGGGGGGTTCGGAGAGTGCTGGCTGTGTCTGCTAATCCTGCTTTTCTAAGGGAAGTGGTGAGATCTGTTTTGTTAATTACTAGTATAGTTCTTGAATTTGATTAAGTATACCTGTTTGGTGTCCCTTTTTTTCCCCTTTCCCTATCCCTTCGGGGAGTGGATCCCCTTTTACTGTGTATATAGCATCTTAACTGTATATAACTTTAATTTACGTAAATATATATATATATTTTATATAAACAGCTTGACTTTGGGTTCTTTAATTTTTTTATAGTTTTTTTTTCTTTGCCCTAAGAGGAGAAGGGAGGGAGGAAAGGAGCTGCTGTCGTGACTTTCGAGCATTTGGCAGGGAGCCAAGTCCAAACCATCACAGCTGGGAATCACCAACCATGGGAAGTTCCCCAGGGGGAAGGGACGGATCCTGCCCTGGGATGGGGCAACCCCGGGAGGACGGACACACTGGGAATGAGAGTCTGGGAAGCAGTGCCGGGAAAGGGCCCTGGGGGTGCTGGTGGGTGCCAGTTGGCCCTGAGTCAGCAGTGCCCTGGCAGCCAGGAGGGCCAAGCCTGTGCTGGGGGCATCAGGGAGGGGATTGTCCCACTCTGCTCTGCCCTGGGGCGGCCTCACCTGCAAGATTGGGGCAGTTTGCGGGGGCACAATGGAAGGGAGAGATTGAGCCATTGGAGAGTGTCCAAAGGAGGACAACAAAGATGGGGAAGGGCCTTGATTTGAAGCCGTGTGAAGACACTGAGGGCACTTGGTGTGTCCAGCTGGGGGAGACTGAGGGGAGACCTCACTGCAGTCACAACTTCCTGGGCAGGGGCAGAGGAGGGGCAGGCCCTGAGCTCTGCTCTGTGGGGACCAGGGACAGGACTGAGGGAATGGCCTGGAGTTGTGGCAGGAGAACTTTAGGGTGAATCTTGGAAAAAGGTTCTTCCCTCAGAGGGTGGTTGAGCACTGAAGAGGCTCCCCAGGCAGAGACCTTTATTCTCTTCTCTTCCCGTGAGGTTCAGGAGCAGTGGTCACTGTGTTGGTCTCGCTTATCTGAAGGCTGAGCCTGCAGCGACCGCTGGTCTGCCCTGTGGGAGATTGGACAGTGCTGGTCATGTGTGCCAATCTTGCTTTTCTGAGGGATGGGATGAGATTTGGTTTGCTAATTATTTTGTTAGTTGTTCGGTTTGGTTGTGTATATCTGTATATCCTGTTTTTGTCTCTTTTTGTTCCTTTTTCCCCTTTCCCTTTCTTTTTGGGGAGCATTTAGATTCCCTTCACTGTGTACACAGCATTTAACTTTTATACAACTGTAATATAGGTAAAATATATATATTCATATAACGAGCTGGATTTCAGGTTCTTCAATTTTTATAGTTTTTTTTTTTTTTCTTTGCCCTAAGAAAAGAAAGGAAGGAGAAGGGGTTATTGCTGTGACTTCAGGCATTTGACAGAGAGCCAAGTCCAAACCATCACAAGAGCTAAGGGTTGGACTGGATGATCCCTGGGGGTCCATTCCAACTCAGCATATTCTGTGACTCTGTGATTATCAACCCTGTGTTCAGCACAAATCCAAAACACAGCCCTGCACTGGCCACGGGGAAGAAATTTAACTGGACTCCCCCTGAAAGCAGCACACCCATTATGGGCTCTCACACAAATATTCCACAGTCCATTTGCCACCTGGAACCAGGGACTCTGAGTTCCTGCTTCCCCAGCCCCAGGGATGGTGTCCTTGTCTGCTCATTCCTCCACACTTTCAGTGATGGCATCTTAACCAGACAAGCCCCTGGGAATAATTTACTTCTAAGTCTTCAATTCTTTTGTGGTTAATTAGACAGAGCTCAGTAGTGCATTCAAAGTGAATATTGTATTGTATTGATAAAATCATGAGAAAAGGTGTCTTTTTTGTGTCCTGCTTATTTTTTTCCTGTTTTTACATTGATATCAGCAATCCCCAGTCCATAGTGATCCTAAGCACTTCCTAATTCAGTCTGAATAGATAACAAAATCAAACCCCTTTGTGTCTGACAATCCATCAGACTTTATCCCTATTCCCACCCCTCCATTCCCTCATCCAAACCCTGGGACTCAAAGCAGCCTTGGGCAAATCTGAACTTCCTCCACTAAAGGCTGGACCTGCAGGTTTCAGCTCCTTGGCACCAACTCCCACCTGCTTGGTTTGGAGAAAGAGCTGCACAAGACAGTGGGGTTTCTGTGCCTGGGTTTTGGTAACAGGGGGCTACAGGGTGGCTTCTGTTAGAATCTGCCAGAAGCTTCCCCTGTCCCATGGAGCCAATGCCAGCTGCTCCAGGACGGAGTTCCTGCCACTGGCCAAGGCTGAGCCACTTAGGAGTGAAAGTAACACCTCTGGGATAACACATTTCAGAAGAGAGGAGAGTTGAACAGAAAAAATTGCAGCGTGGGAAGAGCAGAGTGAGAACATGGGATAACAACACAGACCCCAAGGGCAGTGTAGAAGGAGGGGCAGGAGGGACCCCACAGGAGCAGGGGAAGGACTCATAACTGAGGCCCCTGTAGCCCATGGGGGAGCATCGGGGTGCAGAGACCCCCCTGCAGCCCATGGAGGAGCCCACGCTGGAGCAGAGGGATGCAGGAAGGAGGCTGTGACCCCGGGGCAGGCCCAGGATGAAGCAGGCCTTGGCAGGGACCTGCAATTTGTGGAAAAGGAAGCCCAGGCTGGAACAGGTTTTTCCCAGGTAGGACTCATGACCCCTGTGGGGAACCCACGCCAGTTCAGCTCATCCCTGAAGGACTGACCCCATGGAGGAGGGACCCACGGGACAGCAGGGTGGGAAGAGCTGCTGCCCGAGGGATGGACTCACGCTGGGAGGTCCATCCAGTAACAGGGGAAAGACTCAGAGCTGTGGCCCCCCTGTAGCCCCTGGTGGAGACCAAAGTAACGCTGGTGTCCCCCTGCAGACCATGGAGGAGCATCGGGGTGCAGAGACCCCCTGCAGCCCAGGAAAGAGAAACCCACAGGACAGCAGAATGGGAAGAGCTGCTGCCCGAGGGATGGACTCAAACAACACCTGACTGCAACCCCCTTCCCCATCCCCCTGCACTGCTGGGGGGGAGGAGGCAGAGCTGAGAAGGACAGAGGGGTGGGGGAAGGTGATTTTAAGACTGTTTTATTTTTCAATCTTTGGCTTTTCTCCTGTTAGGAAGAAATTTTAGTGCTATCCTTACTTTGAGTCTGTTTTGCCCATTAGTAAGTGACTTTCTCCTGACCCTTATCTGTTCTCAGGAATCCTCAGGTGATTTTTTTTCTCTCCTCTGTGGAGTTACAGAGGGAGGGGGAGATAGCGACTTTTAGTGGGTGTTTGAAATCCAGCCAGGGTCAACCCACTACACCAACCCATGTGCTTGAGGCCCTTTTGTGATGTCACAGCCTATCCTCTCCATTCCGGAATAGCCCTTGGCAAGCAAAGAACCAACACCCTACAACCCCAAAGTGAAACACCACCACTGTTCCATGGACCCCTTTGTGATGTCATGGCCTGTCCTCTCCATTCCAGAACAACCCCTGGAAACCAAAGAACCAACGTCACAGAATGTCAAAGTGCAGCCCCACCCATCTGCCATTTCCCCTTTGTGATGTCACGGCCTTTCCCCCAGGAAAGAAAGCCTAAAACCTTCTGGTTTCAGGTGCAGTTGGTGGGCCAACCTGGGTACTTCATGGGCAGCAAGAGCTTTCTGTCCTGCCACCTTTTGTCTGGCAGGAATGTTTGTCCATATTCAAATTTGGAAGTCGGACTGACAATTTCAGCATAGGGCTCCTGCAGGAGAACAACAGCCCTGCCCTCCAGGAAAGAAACCCCTTACCCTCGGTCTCTTTTCCTGTTCCTTCAAATACAACCTGCAGGGCAGCTTTCTGCCATCTCTTCTCTTGGGAATTGTGAAGAGAGACCCGCTCCCATGTTTAACACCTCAGGCAAAACCACCCTGTTAACAGCTTTCCCAACCTTCCCCATCCTTTCCCAAAGCCGAGATGTGGAAAGAACTGTTGTAATATTATTAATATAATAAATAAGTAGTCTGCATGGACCAAGAGACACCAATGTGGTGTGTAACAGAGTGCTTTATTGAGAGAGAACAAAGGCTGCAGTAGCAGTTCTGAATCGTAACACGTCCCAACAGGTAACCCTCTCAACCAATCCTGCCAAGGTTCTTCACTGCTCATGTGCACCGGAGTCCCACAGAATTTGTTTCCCAGAAAGCTCTGCTGGCACTCCTGAAACCCCAAATGCTACATCTCCCCCCTTTTTATTACAACAAGATACAGAACAGTGCAATCCTGAAACTTCTTAGGTTTTTTTTTTAACATAACATTTCCCATTTAACACAGTAACTTTTAACATCTGTAAGTGGCCAAGGCAGCCTGGACACACTGCCCTGGGCAAAGGGATGTGCCAGAA